TCTATCTATCTATCTATCTCTATCTCTATCTCTCTCTCGCACTCACTGTATGTGTGTGTGTGTGTGTGTGTGTGTGTTACATGCTGAGCCTGTGATGCGCAACCTCACGCCGCGCGCGGCGTCCTGTACGTCGGATGCCGATCAGAGTAGTTAGGGGTGTGGCCGAGGATTTTTGGCCGTGGGGGTTGAGTCACCTGGGCAAAACGAGGGACTCTGAACGGTGCCCTACGACACGACCATCATCACACAGAAGGAAACGAAAGGCGAGGGGAGGAAAGAAAAGAAAAGAAAAGAAGCCGGCGGGGACCGGGTTCCGTTCCTCGAGGCGCCGGGCTCGCACGGCTTTTGGGGGCAGAGGCCCCGGAATCAGGTTTCAGGCCTTTGTGTCCGACTCGTCAAAGCCCGTGCTGGCGGCACGGCGCGGGGCTGCCCGGGATTGGGCCGGTCGAGTGGGCTGGAAGCGCGCTGGCGTTGCATGAGAGCTCGGGAAATCGGGCGGCCCCTTCGTACCCTAGGACTAGTCGTCGCCACGAGCACGAGTCTCGCTGGCGGCACCAATGGCAATTAAACCGACGTCGCCACGTTGCCTGTCCGGCTGACCAGGGCAACACTGCGAGGTCGGTGTAGGGCAGGATTAAGGGAGGGGAAGAAAACCGCTCAATCAGCACGAACCCGCTCCCTCCTATATGGCACGCCCGGGTCAGGTTGTAAAGATGGATTGTCTCAGTGCGCCTCAGTATGCTCCACACGTCCGCATCGCAGTATACGCCATCGTCATCTGCGATCGGGAAGGGCGGGAGCGCGCTGCGACATTCTGAGACAAAGTTCGAGCTCGGGCCATGGCCCGTGCTTCCGTCCCCGGGGATGAGACCTGACTCCATGCAAAGACCAACGAACGCGGGGTCGGGGATCCCGGGGTCGGCGGAGGGAGGTGAGGCGCTTCGCGGGGACGAGAACGACCGATTTCTCTGAAATTGTCCGTCTCACCCGGGGTCCCGACCGGCGCATGATGAGAGAGAGAGGGACAGCGGAAGGAGGTTGGCGCGTATCCCGCACACCCGCGCGGGTTTAAGGACGAAGGAAAGGAGGAAGGATCGACGCGCTCATGCACTCATGCAGGCAATCGACACTCAGTACTTCCTATCATCAGGTCTGGGGGCACATACACACACGCCTACTCATAGAGCCCTCAATGAGACATTCAACATCCATAGACTTCCATACCCGATAATGCATACAACTGATTACCCACACATTGGAACCTTGCACACATTACATGGGGACAAAGCACCAATGGAGACAAAGCACGTTCTTGGTATACAGAACTCTCACGACGGGCCGCTCAGGGCCCAGCCCCCAATCCGTCAGAATCACCAACAACCATAGCCACAAGGCCCTGCCGCTGCAGGCGTCTGATCTCCACCACCACTCAGTCCCTCCGACTGCCTTACCCCAAGTCTATCGCTAACTCCCCCACCCGCCGTCACTCCGCCCATCACGGGCCACGTCGAGCCTTTCCGGCGCCACGGGTTTCGCGCATAGCTCGCGCAGCTTGCAGCCGAGATCAAAGAGAGTGAGAGGAAGGGGTTGCGGGAATTATAGCGTGGAAGGCGGCGGAGAGGCTGCACGAAGCACGGGGTGTAGATGAGCAGGACAG